GTGGCTTACAGTGGACTAAAGGTAATTTGACATTTTTATCAAGCCGACTGCTGTGACCATCCTGGACATCATCAACGTAGCAGACCAGGTAGCCAACCTGAGTAAGTGGTCTAGAGTTTTTGCCTCCATTTCACTTTTGACTTTTTGTAATTCCTACAGATGAAACTACTTAGGCACGTTTTGCCTTCACCTGCAGAACCCAGAATACCTTCACCACTCTTCTCTGAGGCTGCCTGAACCCTACCTTCTACAGCCACAATCTGGAAGGCAGATTTGAATGCATGCTATAGGTTCAATGAAAAAAAAAATTTCTTGAGGACATTGAAGTCTACTACCACATTAATGACATAATGTTGACCAGGCAAGGTGAAGCCACAATGGAAGAAACCCTATATTACATAGTGGTCCACCTGAGAAAAGAAAAGGATTTGAGGGGAACAACTCTAAGGAAATCCAGAATCCAACCTGCTCAGTCAAGTTTTGGGGAATACAGTAAATGGTAAGAACCCAAGCAAGCCTGGATATAGGCCACAGCAAGTTAGTGACGCTTGCTTGCCTACAGTCTAAAAAGGAAGCTCAGAGGATTATTGGACTCTGGGTTTTAGACTCCTCACTTGGTATTCTGATGACCCCTATTTTCTAAGTCTCCCACCGGCGGGCTTCTTTCAAGTGAAGTCTGGAACAGGGCCCAAAGTGGCCATCCAGAAGTCTCTCCTCTGGGCCCATAATTGTGGAGATTTCTATAAGAACTAGAACACGTTACGTCTCTGGAGCAACTACTCGCTGTGTCACTTTTGAAAAACAGCAGCTCGCCTGTTACTGGGTGTTATTTGCTACTGAATAGATGATGAAGACTCACACTATCACCCTTCATCTAATGTCAGGGATGCAGGATGGTCCCACTAATAAGATGGGCAGGATGCAGGAGGGCTTTATTATTAAATGGAAATGCTACAACCAAGATCATGCTTGCCTGGGGCCCTCAGCTGTACGCCTTCACAAACAGGTTGTGACTTTGCCAGAGGCTTGGAGTTCCCAACCCAGCCCTAACATCCTGCCTCCTTTGTTAGCCCAATGGGCCGCCACCTATGAAGACCTATCTCCTGAGAATCACTTACATACCTTGTTTACCAATATCCCTGCATACTATGAGCAATGCCTATTCAAGTGGACCTCAATGGCTATCCATCCAGTAAGAGGGAAAACCCTAAGGGATGGGGGTCCTGGAAGGGCTTCTACTCACTGAACTATAAGCCATATGGCTGGTATGGCAGAAAGTCTGGTAGGATGGCAGACAAGATCTTCATCTACACTTATCCCTGACTAATAGCCTTGAATCTGCCCAAGTGTCAGGGGACAACCAAAGGCTGTCTCCTTTGGGGTCAGAACAAATGTATGATTTTTGCCAATGTTTCTTCTCACATATTGTTGTTTATATGGCATGTCAGTGCCTCTCAAGGATATTATAATATCCCTGTAACCCTCTGTTGAATAACCAGGTTGATGACTTTATAAAGACAGAAGAGGTTGAAGAGCTTCAGAAAAGGGAACACAACAGCACATTGCAGTGGGTGTGTGATCGTACAATCCCCTTAACTAGGCATGAGATGCTTTTCTGCCTAATGGTGCTCTTTGTGCCAACCCGATCTGAGAGATGCATGGTCCTTGACCCGACTCTGGCTAGCACAAGGCTGATGATAGATAGCATTCCTCTTTCACTATCTAAGGGTGAAGTTAATATCTACTTACTATGGTGCTGCAATACATTAGCTCCACCACAGTAGCAGTCATTATCAACACTCACAGAACATATCTTTCTTCCTTATTGGCCCCTCTGTACCACTACCTCTAAATCAGAGCACCTACTTAACCAGGAAGAAGGTCCAAGATGGAGCCCACTGCCACCATATCCTCTGAGCTTTCTCCTTGTACCACCCTCAGGCTCCTGGAACTACTCAACGCTGGAATAGGCTCTTGAAATAACAGCTCTTCATCATGCCTCTGACTACAAGGGCTGAGTATCCCTTCCCCCAGAAACCATGACCTTGCTGAACCAGTGCCATCTCAGAGCACGGAGGAGCCTGCAGGCCTGGGGTTTTTAGATTCAGCCTCCAGCGAGGCTTACCCAATAAAGGTAGATTGCTTTTTCAGACATAATTTTGGTGGCCCTTTCATCCCTTCCTCATTCTGCCCTTTGAGCAGAGTCTCCCAGATCTCTCAGAGGGCTCCGTACACCCCAGGGAAATGGCTTAGGTACCCTTCATTCGGCAGGTCTCCATTTCCCAAAGCCCGCCCTCCTTTGCACTTCCCCATCGCGTCCCCAGGAACTTCATCATCAGGAGCTTCTCCATCTTCTCTCCTTCCCACTCTCACCCCCAATTTAAAAGGAAAGAACAAGGTCCTTGTAACAAATGCATATGCTCAAACAAAACCAGTGCCTGCATTTGTCCGGCAGCCCCTTCTCAGCTCTCACCCGCTGTGGTCTCTCTAGAGCACCCGATACTGTGGGTGACCTCTTTCGGCTCTTCTCTCTGAGCTTTTGTGACTCTGCTCTCCCCCAGCTCTCTTCCTACCTGCTCCTTCTTCATTAATTCCCCTCCCCACTGTGCTTCTGACTCCCTGATTTCCCCACCATAACAGCTGTCTTTTCTCCTGTGCCTTCCCTCAGCTCCTGGAGCCTTCTTACTTTGGAACACCACTCTGCCACCCTGGCCCTATCCTCCCGTTGGTGAGTTCCTTCCGGGGGTGGGTCCAGGTTGGCCATATTTCATTCTCCTACCCACTGTGCTTTTGATTCTTCCAGACTTTACCATCACAACAACTCGGCTACCTTCTCACCCTAGACCAGGGATGGGGAACCTGCAGCCTTGAGGCCACATGTGGCCTTCTAGGTCCTTGGGTGTGGTCTTTAGACAGAGTCCAAGTTTTACAAAACAAATCCTTTTATTAAAGGGATTTGTTCTGTCAAGTTGGCATTCAGTCTAAGGGTCACACCTGAGGACCTAGAGGGCCACATGTAGGCTTGAGGCCGCAGGTTCCCCACCCCTGCCCAAGAACTTCCCTTATCATTAGGGGCCTTCTCACCTTGGGACATCCCTCTACCATGCCAGCCCGTTCTTCCACTGGTAAGTTCCTTCTGGAGGCCTCTATTTTGGAGATGGGCCCACCCTGGCCATGCTTCATTCCCCTCTCGGCTATGGTTCTAACTCTCCAGACTTTGCCACCATGCCCCAATATGGCTACCATCCTCATCCCACCCCATCCTTTTAGCCCTCTTTTATGTATTGTCTTACCCATTAGAATATAAACCCCCTAAAGGCAGGGGCTATCATTTTTTTTTGCTTTCATTTGTATTCTCAGTGTTTAGCACAGCTGTGGCACACAGTAAGTGCTTAATAATCGATTATTGCCTGCCTGCCTCCTTCCCAGTCTTTGTGGTTTCTTCATCTACACCAAATCCACCACTTGTGGGTGTTTGTCCTAGACCCTCTTCTCTTCAGCTACCACAGACTTTTCCAGACTTAGAAGCAATTTTAGGATTTTGAGAGGTTGGTAATTCCTGGGTCTCTAAGTCAGAGCTTACTAGTGGGAGTTTCCTTGGATTCATGACCACTCACAGGAACCCACTCTTTCACCTGATTTGGTGAGATAAGACATAAGACACGGATCATGAGGAAGTTGGACATTGCAGCACTGAGATTAATGTCTTTCCTATTGTGCATTTGTCAGTCAGTCAACATTTTATTAACACCATTCTATGTGCCAAGAAATGTGCTAAGCTCTGGGGATACAAAGAAAGGCAGGGAAAACAGTCCTGACCTTCAAGAGGTATATATTTTAAACGAGGTAGAAATAAGATTTGTACAGTGTAGAGGGAAAGAAATCTACGAGAGAAGGGACTATTAGTAACAGGGGACTGGGAAGGGTCTTGTGCAGAAACTGAGCCTAGAGCTGTCTTGAAGGAAGCCAATAAAGTTAAGAACAGAAGTGAAAGGGCAATGCATTCCAGGTAGAGGTACAGCCAGGGCAAAGGCAGAAACCAGGGATGGAGTGCCATGTTCCAGGAGCTGCAAGAAGGTGGATAATAGAGTCTGGATAAACAGACTGTCAGGGTAGGAAGGGACCGGTTATGATGAACTTTAAATGGCAAACATTTATTCCTGGAGGTAATAGCAAATGGAGCTCTACACACTTGGTGAAAAATGTCATTTTGAGGTGATTCACAAGTCAGTAAAACTGCTGGTCTCTACAAAGGCTTTCTCCTACCTATATAAATACTCTTGTTTACTAAGGCACCAATGCTATCTAAAGAACTTTTCATGATCAATATAGTAAGTGTTTCTTTCAGGTATGAATTCTTTCAATAAAGTCCTGATGCTAGCTAAAGGACTGCCCATATTCTGAGATCATAGATTTTGGTGCTGGGAAGGGATTTTAGAGATCAACTAATTCAACTTCCTCATTTTACAAGTAGTGAAACTGAGGCCCAGAGAGGCTGATGACCTGGCCCATATCACAAATAAGTGACAGAGCAGGATTTTTGAATTCTGGTCCTCTCTCTAAATCCAAACTCAGTGTTCCCTCAACTGTTGGTAGAGGTACTTCTAACTTCACTGAAAAGATGTATCTCCAATATGAATTCCCTTATGTGCAGTAAGCTGTTGCCTCCAGCTAAAGGATTTCCCACATTCGTTACATTCAAAGGGTTTTTCTCCAGTATGTATTCTCTTATGTCTAGTAAGGTCACCACGATGACTAAAAGATTTTCCAGGGGCAGCTAGGTGGCGCAGTGGATAGAGCACCGCCCTGAAGTCAGGAGGACCTGAGTTCAAATCCAGCCTCAGACCAAACACTTGACACTTACTAGCTGTGTGACCCTGGGCAAGTCACTTAACCCCAACTGCCTAAATGAAAAAAAAAAAGATTTTCCACACTGACTACATTCAAAGGGTTTTTCTCCAGTATGAATTCTCATGTGCAGTAAGTTCACCATGATGATGAAAAGATTTACCACATTTATTACATTCAAAGCGTCTCTCTCCAGTATGGATCCTTGTTATGTGTGGTAAGCTGTTCCTTTCTGCTAAAGGCTTTCCCACATTCATTGCATTCAAAAGGTTTCTCTCCAGTATGAATCCTCTCATATGTGGTAAGTCATTCTCTCCTGCCAAAAGACCTCCCACATTCATTACATTCAAAGGGTCTTTCTCCAGTATGAATTCTCTTATGTTTAATAAGGTCTCCACTCTGAGTAAAGCATTTCCCACATTCATTACATTCAAAAGGTTTCTTTCCAGTATGAATTCTCTTATGGCTATCAAGGTGTCCACGAAGATTAAAGGATTTGCCACATTCATTACATTTGAAGGGTTTCTCTCCAGTATGAATCCTCTCATGTGTAGTAAGCCTTTCCTTCAGGCTAAATGATTTGCCACATTCATTACATTCGAAGGGTTTCTCTCCTGTACGAAGTCTCTTATGTTTAGTAAGGTGTCCTGGGTAAAATTGAGTAAAACATTTCCCACAGTTGCTACATTCCAACTGTTTCTCTCCAGTATGACTTCTCTTATGGTTAGCAAGGTATCTAGTATGATTAAACAATTTCCTACATTAGTTATATTTAAAGTGTTTCTCTCCCATAAGAATTGTTTTTCTGTTCAGTAATAGGCTGATGCCAACTAAAGGACTGACCACATTCATTATACTCAATGGGTTCTTCTTCAATCTAAACTCCCCAATGTAGAATAAGACAAGATCGGCAACTGAACACTTCCCCACGTTCATCATATGCATTTGAATTTTCTTCAATATCTTTCTTATGATGTTGAATAATGTCTGAAAGGCAACTGAATGCCTCCCTACATTGATTGATTACACTTGCAAAGCTTCTTGTCAAAAAAGATTCCAATGTGATTACTTTCATCTAAACACTGTTTGAAGTTCTTTCTATGTGCATCACATTTCTGCAGACTTTGTCCTATATGAACTCTCTGATGTGGAACCAAGACTGGGCCCAGACCAAAGCCTATTCCAAATCTGTTATATTTATTGGCTCAAATTTAGTAGAAATATTTCTGTGGGTGATCGTAACTTGCTGGGACTGTTTTTTATGACTGCTGTCCTGGTACTCTAATCTAATATCACATTCCCAGCCTTTTCCAAATTTGGAATTACAGATTCCAGGCTTCTTAAGTTGTTCCTTCGATGACTTTCCAACAGAAATGCCTTGCCTGGGAATTGCCTCCATTGTTTCACACCTAGTGCCTGGCTTAAGGCACACTGAAAAAAAAAAAAAGAAAAGAAAAAAGTGTCAATATGCAATAATCTCTGTGCTGAAATAACAAGGGGGCATAACGAATAGGGTTTAAATCCCGTCGCAGCCACTTAGTAGCCGTGTTAAAGTTATTTTACCTCTTTCACCCTCAGTTTCCTCATCTGTAAAATGGGAATAATAGAAGCTATCTCACACAGAGGTGGAACAACAGAACAACATGGTGGTTGTGAGGATCAAAGGAGATGACAAATACAAAGTATTTTGCAAACGTAAAGCAATAGGTACATGCTAGCTATTGTTATAATTTTGTTAATCTCTAGGTTGTCTCATCCATCAAAGCTGAATAATATACAAATGACAGAACACTGTTTACAACAAACAGAAGCCTAAGATATGTGAGAAGATAGTAATAGAACATCTTAATGCTTTAAATGAGTTCAAGTATCTAAGACCAAATGAATTACACATTAGAGTACTAGAAAAAGAATATGATCACAGAATTACTGTTGATAAGCTTTAGAAAAATATCTGAATTTTCAGGAAAAACAAACAGGTTGAATCTGGAAATGACAGACTGACAAGCCTGATGCTAATTTCTACCAAGATTCCATAACCTACAGTAAAAGAGATGGTTTATGTGCAGTTATCAATGAAAGTCTTGATCAGTAAGACCTAGCGTAGGTACATTAAGAACAAACCCTTGTCCAAAGGAAGAAAAATTCCTTCATGTTCTTAATTGATACCTTAGATGGTCGATCAGAACATACTGCACGCAACATATATCTAGCTTTCAGCACAGTATTTGACAAAATCTCCTAAGTTACCTTTTTGGACAAGAAGAAGAAATGCATGCTAGGTAACATTATAGGGGAGGAGCAGGAAAAGGGAGTAAGTATTTATATAGCACCTACTATGTGCCAGGCACTGTGCTGAGCACTTAACAAATGTTTTCACATTTGATCCTCGAGACAACCCTAGGAGGAAGACAGTGTTACTATCTCCTTTTTTTAGATGAAGAAAAAGGCAAAGGTTAAGTGATCTGCCCAGGGTCACACAGCTAGAAGTATCTGAGGCTGGATTTGAACTCAGATCTTCCTGTCTCCAGGCTCAGCGTTCTATTCACTGTACAACCCAGGTAGGCAAACACGTTAAGTCACCTTACTTCCCAAACTTTTATGGGGGAAGGATGGGAATTATATTGGGGTTCTCAATCAACAGGTGTCTATAAAGTGTTTACTTTGTGCCACCCTGTGTACTAAGTCCTGTGTATACAAAGAAAGAGCACAAAAAGTATTTGCCCTCAAGAGGACGCGGGTGGCTGAGAAAGCTAATGCAACTCCATTTTGTCTTGCTGCAGCCCCCACCCTGTCTTTGAGCTTCCTTACAGGACGGTCCTATCCACTGGGGGGGGGCGGCAAAAAGAGATAGCAGCCCTAAAGGAGAGTCTTTCCTGTTACTAGCCCAGCAACCGGCCCTGTTCAATCAAGGGATACCATTCCTGCTCTGCAAGCACTCTGCCTAGTTCTAAGGAACTCCAGAGCCAATGTGCCTCCTGTCTAAACTGAAACCTACATAAGCTTTGTCCTTGTGTTCCTTCGGGGAGTCTCTGACTGTGAGGGTGGGGCTCCCTTGCTGGAGAACTCAACAAAGCCTCGTTGGTTCCTAAATAGGTTTGGGGTTGGTTCTGGTTTGTTCCTGCACCAACCATTTTATCCACAAAGCTAACATTCTAATAGTGAAGACAACGGATATAAATCAATACATACAAGGCCAATAGAGAGTAGATGCAAGGTCACCTTAGAGAGGGCGGCGCTAACACTTGGGAGGACCAGGCGAAGCCAACTGCAGGAGACAAATGTGTCTCCACCACTATGATTCAGGGTTCTAGATAATTCAGTGCTTCTATTAACACCGTCTAAAGCGTTCATCCAAGAAAATATGGAAAATCCATCAATTGTGCAGATGACACATAGCTATGAGGAATAGCTAATTTACCATACGACTGAATCAAGATTTTAAATCTGCTCAACAGGCTGGAACAGTGGTCTAAAACTCTTGACATCCTGCATTCAGAATTATACAAGTACAGAACTAGGAAGACACATTCATGTTTAGAAGGCTACAAAGTTCCTGTGGACATCAAGAGCTGTTTGAACAAAGAGTCTGCTCATACAACCGCTGTTGTTCAGTCAATCAACCTTTCTAGGCCTGCTTCCTAATCAGGTGGACTGACCCTCTGATGTCTCTTTTAGCTGTAGATGCCATGATCCCTCCTGGTGCTGCTGCATGGGCCCACCTCTGTCAGCACCGCTTTTGGGAACAATCACATTATTCCTGGTTGTATGTGATAGATTTTGAAATTGTCCCCAGGCCCCACACCATTCTCATGCCTTTGGTTCACGTCTTTAAAACGGTGTCCAGAACCGAACAAAAAACTCTAAATGTGGTCTGGGCAGAATGGAATAGAGTAGTCCTATTACTTCCTGGAATCTGGACACTATGCCTCTGTTGATGTAGCATACAAGTTATATTAGGACAGCTAGGTCTCTCCCATCCACACATCAAAATTATTCAAGAATCTTTTGAAGCTATAACTACAGAGATAACCTCATTCAATGACACTCTCTTCATGAATATCAAACAAGGCCTAAAATAAGGAAACGTACATTCACTAAAGAAGTTGACCACTGGGGGTAGCTGGGTGGTGCAGTGGATAGAGCACCGGCCTTGGAGTCAGGAGGACCTGAGTTCAAATCTGACCTTAGACCAGACACTTGACACTTTCTAGCTGTGTGACCCTGGGTAAGTCACTTAACCTCAATTACCTCGCCAAAAAAAAAAAAAAAAGAAGTTGACCACCGTCATGGAGAAGATCCAGTGCACAGCTGAGTTGAAGAGGAAACTGATGATGGAGTAACATAGCTGTGAGGCATTAATTCATACGGTACACGAAGGAGGGGAAGTTTCAGGAGGCAAGGCCAAAATCTCGGGATTTTATTAATCAAGAACACCCATAACCTTTCTGTATGATTACTTTCCTACCTACACAAAATCTTAATGAGAATTTTCTACACACCCATCACAGGCGCCTTCAAGAAAAGCATTCACAGGGAACAAGCAAGCAGCTTTGTACAGATGATGCTCAATACCAGAACACATCTTCAGCGCCACGCCAGCGGACGACACAAAGAATTCAAGGTCTCAGTCTGCTCATTGCTTGCTAATTAGGAAGAAGCACGGGACTTGGAGCAAAACGCTTCCTTGGAGTCTCCCTCCCAACAAGGGGTCTCCCTATTGATAAATCAAAAGCTTTCGTGATTCCTTGAAAGAGAGAACAGAGCCTTGCTCTGAGACACTCTGGTGAGGCTCAAAACAGGGAGAGAGACACGCTCATTAGAGGCATCTATCCCTGGATGGAGGAAATCCAAACTTAATAACACTAATAGCAATGTTTACACAGTGTTTTAGTTTACAAACCACTCTGAATGGATTATCTTACTGAATCCTCTCCACAAGGGATTTTCCTAAAGCACAGGTCCAGGCGTGTCACCCACAACTCAGTAAATCCCGGTGGCTCCCTGTTGCCCCCAGGAGCAAGTTCGAAATGTGTTTGGCATCCAGAGCCCTTCCTCACCTGGTCCCCTGCTACCTTTCCAATCTTACTACATCTTACTCCCTAATGTGTGCTCTTTGAGCCTCCTGGCTGTTACAGGAATAAGACCCTCCCGCTCACGGCTCTGGCCATTCCCTCTGGCTGTCCCCCAGCCCTGGGACGCTCTCCATCCTCTGTCCTGGCTGCTGACCTCTGGGCCTCCTTCAAATTGAACTAAAAATCGCACTTTCTACAGGGAGCCTGCCCCAGTCCTTCCTAGTCCCCGGGCCTTCCCTCTGTTACTTATTTCTTACATATCCTGCGTATAGCTTGCTTTGCACATATCTATTTGCATGCTGTCTCCACCATTGGACTCTAATCTCCTTGAGGTCAGGGGCAGTCTGTTGTCTCTTTTTGTATCCCTAGTGTTGAGCACAGTGCCTGGCACATAGTAGGCACTTAACATTTATTGACTGATTCAAAACCCTGGGATGTAGGTATTCCCATTCTTCCTATTTCACAGCTCAGAGAGGCTGAGGGGCCTGCCTGGGGTCGCACACCAGGGTCATCCCGACTCCCACGGCCTGCACGCGATCCCCTGGGATGGCCTGGGGCTCACTGGGAAGAGGGAGCGCCTCCAGACGCTCCTGCCGGCGACTCTGCACACTGATTTCACGCGCACCCGGCCTGCTCTGTGCCGCCCATCTCCTGCCTCTGTGCTTTTCTCTAGCTTCTCCCCGTGCCTGGAATCCATGCCTTCCTGAACTCCACCTCCTAGAAGCCGCAGCTCAGGTGCCACCTGCGACAGGAAGCCCTGCGTGGTCCTCCTGGGCTCTTCACGCTCCGTCGTCTCTGAGGTCACTTTGTATTTACTTAGCTCCTGACGTGACGGGGAGCCAGCCTACGAAAGGTTTGACATGCTAGACGTTTCAAAGCTTGGAGGATGTAACAGGGAGTCACTCCTCCAGATTCAATTACCAATTATTCAATTACTCTAGATCCAGGCCCGGTTTCATATGTGAACTCCACATGCCTGCTGCACATCTTCCCTTGGGTACCACATGGGGATCCCAGATGGCTCCATTAAGCTCTGGAACCTCGCAGAAAGCCTCCTGAAAGAAATCCGTAACTACTCATAAGACTTCAGCCTTGCCATCCCGACAGGGAAGACTAACTGGATGGTCAGATTATGACACCCAGGCGGCCAGATGAAATACAGAGCTTGTCCATCCGTGTATATATCTGGGGCAGACAGTACAAATGGGTACGTTGGACCCATGGAGAAGATTGAGTTGAACATGAAGAAGAAAACAGCCTGGATTACCTTCAGGGAACTGAAAACCTCCTTCAACAACCCCACACACTTTCCAGCAACAAAAGCCTACCTTTTTTAATACCAACACTCTCCTAGTGTTGTATGGCTATAAGGCACGGGGTGCCACAGTCTGCAAAGAACGAAAATGTGTAACACAAAGAGGGCAGTGGAGGTGTGGATGATGGCTTGAGCTATAGCATATAACAAACGAGGAACGTGGAAGAAGAGGAGTGAAGGATGTTATCAAGGAAATACAAAATGGACAAAGAAGCTTGGCTGGTCAGATGGTGAGGGTGAGGGATGCCTGGTGGGCAACCTCAGAGAGCTTCACTGGTATCCCCACGGTATAAAACAAGAGGGAGGAAGGCCTCCAGCGTAACGTGTGGACTCACAAGAGCCACAAGGGATGCATAAGCATGACAGATGGGAATCCAAATTGATTCAATCATAATCTAATTTAGTATTTGATAATCACAACAACAGTTAAGTAAATGCAAAGTATTTTCTGCAGGGAGAGAGCTCTACCGAGGCCAGTGAGGGGAGGAAGGCTTCAGTAGATGGCACCTGAACTGAAGCCTGAGGGAAGCCTGGGCTTCTGAGAGGTGGAGTTAAGGATGACACTGAGTTTAGGGATGGAGGAGAACCTATACAAAGGCATGAAGATGGAAAGTTGAATTCAGGCAACAGCTAGCAGTTAGCCAATTTTGCCGGAATGAAAAATGCATAAAAGAGAATAATGGGAAATAAGTCTAGAAAAGTAGGTAGAAATCCAGATTATAAAAGGCTTTAAAATGCCAGGCAGAAAAGCCTGTAATCTCTCTTCAAGGTAACAGGGAGCTACATTCAATCATTTCGATAAAGATTTCAATTATTTCAAAGCTCTACGTCTAACCCTGTTCTCACAGGTGAACTCTAGTCCCACGTCACCAACTGTCTACTAGGCATCTTCACCTGGAGAACACGTGAGCATCTGAGACTCAACATATCAAGAATAAAACAAATTATAATTCTCCTCAAACTTCTTCCAGTCCCAAACTTCTCCATTTCATTCATTTATTCATCATTCCTTACTACGAGCCAAGCTCTAGGGAAACCAAGAGAAAAACAAAACCATTCCTGCCCTCACAAAACTTACTTTCTATCGAAGGAAAGAACACGTACCCCAATAAGCCGGTACAAAGTAATTTCCAGGAGTGAATGGGGCTGGAAAGGGGAGGTACAAAGAGGACTTGATACCAGCGAGATTGGGATAAGGGTTTCTCCTTGATTCTGTTCCCCCAGAGTCATCCAAGATTCTTCCCTTCATTCCACGATATCTACCTATTTATCAAGTCTCATTAATTATGCTGACATATTTCTCCCATTTTCTCCTTCTCTACGCTCACAACCACCTCTCTTTTTCTACACTTACACCTTAGAGATGCATCAGACCCTCATTACCTCTTGTCTAAACTATTTCATTAGTCTCCTACATGGTCTCCTCGCCTTCTATTCTCATCAGTAATAACCTATCTTCCACACATCACAACATCATACATTTATTTCATATGCATTTTATACATGTTTACATTGCAGTTGTTTTGTCCTTTATTTTCAAAGAGGACCAATGACATCATGGGTGATATCTTGACTCATGGGTGAACTGGATTTAAGTGAAGCAGAATTGCACAAAATTGTCAGCCTTACTCTCTCTCCCAGAGTCATCGAAGTTCCATGGCAAGTCAAAAGTCAGGATGACTAGCGATGGCCTGGGATGCAGTGGATAGATGGCCTTGAATGATAGGCTCCTTAGCAACAGAAATCATTTTTTCATTTTTGTTTTGTGGCCCCAGGGCCTAACACAGTAGGTACTTAATAAACTTTTGCTGGCTTGAATTATATTGTAAAAGATAAAGGATTACAGCGGAGGGGACAAGGTAGGAAAGACTTGGAGCCAGAGTACAAGAGGAAGGGTTAGTGTCTGAGAGAAAGAACACTTTTCTCTGAGACAGGATGTGAGGAGGGGTAGAGATATGTCTGGAAATGGTAGAGCTCCTAGCTCACGTCAGAAGATATAGGTTCAAGTTACAATGCCAATAACGTGCAAGCTGGGTGGCCTTAGGCAACCTCTGAGCTGTAAGGAAGGACATGGATGAAGCAGAGAGTAGACAAGGTAGATGGGGAAACCACGGCAGTGAAGGAGCTCCAGGGCATGGCTTATGTTGATTGGAGAGGAGAGTGATGGGGAGATCGGACAGTCTTCAAGTATGTGAAGCTTGACAAGACTTACTCTAGTCGCCTCCCAAAGGGAGAAGTTGGGGCAATAGGTAGAAGTAAAAAAGAAGTGAACTTACACTTGATATAGAGAAAAATTTCTAAATAATTAGAGCAATCCAGAAGTGGAAGTGAAGGCCTCAGGAGGCAGTGAGTTACATCTCACTGGAGGTCTTTCTCCAACTGGATTAGAGGCTCCAGGTAAGATGGAAAAAGATGAAAAAAATCACTTAAGTTTGAGTTGGAAGATAAGGCCTTTGAGGCTCTTTACAACTCGAGGGTCCTGGGATTCTTTCTTACTTTATCTCCATGGGCCTCAGTTTCTTCTCCTATAAAATCAAAAGCTAGAGATGACAGATAAGTTCCTCTCCAGATCTAACATTTTGTGATCCTGTAGAAAATGGTTTGCAAAAGTGAAAATGAGTATTTACAAGGAGTATGTAGGAGAAAGCTCAGAGTCAGACCTTCCCCCTGACCGTAGGAAACTGTGAGGAAGGCTGCTGATCCAAAGTTTCAAAGGGTTATCTCCTCAAAGGAGTAGTTCACTATTCCTCAGAGAGACTCCCACAGACTCTACTCACCTGGGCAGGTGCTCCTTGGGACTTGCTGCTCTATTATCCAGGGCGTATCTCCTCTCTCCAAGTAGAAGAGAACATCTGGTTTATCAACTGAAAGTCCTGAGGAGGGAAATGGGAACGTTCTTTGAACAGAGCCATCTAAGAATGCAATCTCAACTTCTTCCTCTTTTAGGAAAAGAAGGTGTGCTAGGAAGGACGGGTGGCAGAGGAGAACAGGGGACCTCTGAAGGCTGTTCAGTATTGTGTTACAGGGTCACAGAGCAAACTGGGGCTCAAAAAGAATATTAGCTCATATGACTCAATTCTTGAATGGAACATCTTTCTCATTTTCACATAGCTGCCCTGGTATTTTAATGCAGTGGAACAAAGAAGGGGGAAGGTACAGCTTCAAAGCCAGGACCACAAAGCTGTGGATTTCCATCTGTACAAAGAAAAGACCTTACACCTGGAAGCAGGGTTCTGGCCCATGCTCTTTCTCGGTTCTGAAGGAGTTAAGGATCTCCTCATATTACAATTGTTTTAAAATATCTCAGCCTACCAGGGCAAAAATGGGCTAACACTAGATACCCCCTGGCTTCTGGCAAGCAAGAGCACAGAGTCACCCCAGCCAGCAGATTCCAAGTCACAAAGGGAAGTTTGTCTTTACCCAGGGAGACAAGGTTCCTGTAGTTCTCCAACGTCACATCTTTAAACAAGTTCCTCTGAACAACATCCAATTGTTTCCATTCCTCCTGGGAAAATTCCACAGCCACATCCTTGAAGGTCACTGATCCCTGAAATATTCAATACACTCCTGCTCACCCTGATCTTCTCTCACATGTACTTTGGGGGGGACCTGAAGTTAACTAGAAGTAGAAGGGCTATCTTTTAAAATGTGCTGGGTACTGAGTACTTTGAGTCAAATACTGGAGCACGTGCTGGATACTGCATTCTTTACTTGATGTTAACTTACCAATATTCCTGCCCTATCACTCAATGTCATCCATATATTATAGTCTGCTCAAGTTAAGTCCCCAACAAATGGTGCTCTTAATTTAGAACCAGGTAAGTACTCCTAAGTACACAAAAGCAATTGGGTTCTATGCAGTTTTGCTAAGTCTATCTTGTTGTTTTAGAGGTTAAATTGAGAAGTGCCACGTTCCCAAAACCATAAAAGTCCAAGCAATGCCCTGAACGCTTTCATGGTGACAAAATTCATAGCCAATGTAGGCACCCAGAAACTGTAACTTCAAAACACAGAGTAGTAAGAATCTAGATTGCACAATAAGGTACCTTGGATGATAAAAAGGCTTTAAAAGCCTATCTGGTAAGACCTCAGAATGACAGTCCTGTCACCTACTTTCCTAAAGACTGTAGCCTTTGAAAGCTAGGGGAATTCCGACTCACCTGTCCTGATCTCCTTTCACCTGAAGATCTTGAAGGAATCCCAGCCCTCTATCTTGAACCCAAAATCCCAGGAATATTCAATATGACAAGAGTCATGAAGATGCTATAGATACTTTCAGGGATGAAAATTCTCTTGAAGGGAAAAGTGGACAGGAAATGAATTTCCCCACTCCACTAAAGGAGCAAGAGTTCCCTTGTCCCACTTGCGGACCTTTAAATGTAAATGTTGTAATTCATGAAGCTAGCATCAAGGTCCATTCTGGGGTGTGACAGGGCCTCAGCTCCAACCTGTGGGGACAAGGAGCCCTGAGTCTGACCAGAGGTCAGGGCCGTCCTCTTAAGTTATGAACACTAAAGGTTCTTGGGTCAAAAAAGGAGACTTCTTGCTTCCCTAGAAAATAAGCCCATTTTATCTATCAAAATCCCTTTAAAATCCACACTGTCCTGCTTAAGAGATGCAGACATTGAGTCCTCTTAAATCAAAGAAAGACAAAAACACTATCCCTATCCTTGAGGAGTGTACAGTTTAATGGGGGAGACGACTTGCAAACAACTACATACAAACAACTATAATTTCATAGAAAAGGCACCAATCTTAAGGGGGACCCAGAGGGATCTCATTAGGACCCTGGTACAACGTTAAGAGCACTGAATTTAGAGTCATGGGACCTGTGTTTAAAATCCACGCCTGCACCCCTTTCCGTGTGGCGTTAACCTCTCTAAGCCTGTTTCTCCATCTGTAAAATGAGGTCAAACCAGATGACCTCTAAGATTCCTTCCAGAGCTAGACATATGATTCTATGGTTTATGAATTTTTTTTATTAAGACTGTCCAATTAATTTGCAACTCTAGATCTCTCTCCTAACTGTTCCATTCATATTATAAAGATATGTGTCTGCTAGTTGAGAACGCACCTCAGTAAAGGTAGAAACTCCCACTTACCTGGACGCTGGCTGTCCCGATCATCGTACCCTTGCAGGAAACAACAGCTTTCAGAAGGCGGCTGAGGAGGAGACAGGAAACATGAGGAAGGCTGGCATTTCCTTACATCTCCCGAAAGCAGGACCGGAGACCTGGAGGCTTCTGCAGAAATCGCAGGATCACAGATTTAGGGTCGTGTCGGGGGTCTCAGAGATCAGATCGTCTAGTCCGGATGCCCCCTTCGCTACACGGAGAAACTGAGGCCCAGAGAGGTTTCCCAGCTTAGCCAAGGTCTTCAGAGATCAGCTCGTTTAACGCAGCAGCCCCTGGATTAGCTCAGCGAGGCTGGACCTCAAATCCCGTGCTTTTACCAGAGGAAAGTCTGTGCTGAGCATGAGGAGCTCCTCCAAACTTGCTCTGCTAAGGGCTGTCCCCCTGACAGTACCAACCCACAGGCCAGAGGGTTAGGACAGGCCAAACGGGCTGGCTGTGCTGCTGAGCGAGGGGAGGGCTGCAGCCCCGGACCAGGCAGTGCCCAGCTCCTCCGGGAGCGAAGCAGGGACGCAGTGCGGGTCAGCCTAAGGCGGGGGCACAAGTTCTGGAGAGAAACGCTAAACCTGGGGGGACGGGGGGGAGAGGGATAGGGAAGAAGAGGGGGAAGGGGGGAAAGAGAAGAGGGAGCAGGCCGAGGGGCAGAGAGGACCCTGGGCATTGGTCACGGCCGCAGCGGGGGGCAGGACGCCTGGGTCCCCCGGAAGCTGTGGGACGGACACTCACCTAGACAGAGGTCCAGCCGGGAAGGACCCGGTACAAAGAGAACACGGGAACGGAAACCGGGGTCCTCCCCCCCAGCCGGAGCAGGCATTTCCGGATATCCCCAACTCGGCAGGATGTTTCTATGGCAACCATCCTCCCAGGACTTCTGGGAAGGGCGCGTGTCCAGCAGCGACTTCTGGGAAATGTAGTCCTGAGGAGGCAGCGGAGGGCTTCTGCGCATGCCCAAAGAGCAGAGGCTGGCGCTGGAGACGTGAGGGTGTCCAAGAGCCTGGCAGGCCCTGAGTTGGCACAAAGCTAAAGGGGCTACTACTGAGAGGTGGGCAAGGGGTCCACGGATGCCAAGAGTACGGCTGGTTTTAGGCAAATTATCAGTGTTAGCTTCACGGTGGAGAGCCGTCCTTGGAATCTGAAGGTCCTGGGTCCGAATCCCTCCTTTGAATCTGGCTGGGTGACTGTGGCCAAGTCACTTGACCTCTCTAAGGTTCAGCGCCTTCACTGTAGTGTGGGGATAATGACTGAGAGGGGTGGGGGAGCATCAGTGGAAATGATGATGATGTATGCAAAGCATTTGGGGATTTAAAGTCGTGTACTGCCATACTAATCCTGATATTACACTATAATCTTTCACTAATAATACTAATCATTTTCCTAATAATGCTAATTATTGTCGTCATCCGGTCAGTTTCCTCGGTACCTTCCTCCCTCTGTCTGGTCCTCAGAACAGCCCACATTCTCCTCCACGTTTCATCTGAGAGCCTGTCTGTCTTCCTGCACCTGCCCTTCCAAGGTGACGTCATCACCTCCCACCAGGATCAACAAGCCAGCTCCCCAGGGGGCAGTTACTACCTCGAGGGTAACCCGAGGGTTGGCCTTTGTCTGCATGCTGCTTCTGACCCTCCCACCCCCATCCCCCCAAAGTGCTCCCCAGACTCGAATTAGCTGACTCCCTCTCTTCTGGACAGCTCTAATTGGCAGGAATTGTTTTTACTCCTATAACCAGCAGGTGTCACTGTGGAGTCAAAGTCCACTTAGGGGCTCACTCTTTCACCCCTTTCTCCCAAAAGGAAAAAGGGGGCACACTTCTTCCTTTCTCCTTCCATGGCGCAGCCCAAAGGGCACGACCTTCTCTTTCACATCCACCCCCGCTGCCTTCCTCTTGGAGTTTGGCCGGACCTCCTACTTTCAAATAGACTTACCAGGTTAAGACAAGCTCAGTTAGGTTTGGGGGCAGGCGTAGGAAGGAGGAAAGAGAAGAAAAATCCCAGATCCATTTTAAATTCTGCTTTTTGGGAAGTTTATAAAATTGCGTATCCTTTCATGAGTTTTTCTTGTTGTTCAGTTGCATCAGACTCTTCATGACCCTGTTTGGGGCTTTCTACCCAAAGATACTGGAGTGGCGCCATTTCCTTCTCCAGCTCATTTTACAGATGATGAAACCGAGGCAAACAGGGTTAAGTGACTTACGCAGGGTCACACAGCTAGTATGTATCTGAGGTCAGGTTTGAACTCAGGTCTTCTTGACTCCAGGCCTGGTGCTCTATCCAGAGCACCATGTAGCTGCTCTCATCAGTATATCTTCTTAATATAAAATACTACACTGGGGCAGCTAGATGGTGCAGTGGATAGAGCACCGGCCCTGGAGTTCAAATCTGACCTCAAACACTTGACACTTACTAGCTGTGTGACCCTGGGCAAGTCACTTAACCCCACTGCCTAGCAAAAAAAAGAAAAAAGAAAAAGAAAAGAAAAAATACTACATCGCTAGCCTCCCATTCTCTTTTTTCTCGATTAATTTTTTCAGTTGTCAAGCATTTCTATTTCATCCCTACTACATCTGCTTCCACTCAAAGGAATTGTGACTAATACCTTTCTGAATCTACCCTCCTTTTTTTTTTCACTCCTCTTTCCCTTTTGAATGAAATGCATTAACACATAGAACACTTTGTGTGTATATTCCACCCTCCTTTGACCCAAATGAAAATGGGGTCAAAGTGATCATGGTTTCCCCACACTGTCCTTGTTTGTCTGGTCTCCTTGTGCATCCCAATTATGTGAGGTAAGTTCCTGTATCCTCTTGCATTTTTTTTGTAGACATTCCCAAACTTTCTCTGTTCACGGTACCCTTAGTCCCTCAGGAATTTTTTTCACAGTTCCCATAGACCAAAAAATACTTAACAGTTCTGTTTATTAAAGTTAGGTCTAAACAACTTGAGGAGTATTTCTGCCCTGACAACTTAGTAGACATTTGAGAAAATAATACATGCAAATCAAAAGAAAAAAATAGTATTTTATTTCATGCTTCAATAACCACAATTACTTCTTAATGAGATTTGTATGCCTTTTGGACATTGTACAACTACTCAGAACTTGGAACCAGATTGGACACTGTTCCACATTGATTTTCATATGGTTTTTGTTTTTTATCACAACCACCACCAAATCCTCAATTTCACAAAGATATGACACCTCAAATATGAAAGTTTGAGACGTTACTACTGTAGCTGAAAGCGTAAGTAAATAAAAGCATATCTTGAACATTCAAGAATGTCACTGAAAGGAATACAACATGATCTAATCGTGGATTTTTGTGTGGTATCTGACAGACACTAAGAACCTCTGTGTTTCCCTCAAAAATTTAAAACATGCCAATGCTACTCCAGTGGCCTACTGTTCATGGTTTGGGAATGTGGGCCTAGTACCCTTTCGTGCCTTATTTTATTTTCTTCTTTTAAAATCATCAAAACATAAAAAAACTCTCTGTCTTATTTGAATCCCTCTGTGACCTCTGGTGACATTAAATTCTGAAAGGATACATATTTATTTTCCTAATTACTTTTTTCCTTTGAATTATTTTGTTTCATTAATTATTTCCTAATTACATGTAAAAAAATTGTTAACAATCATTTTTAAAAATTTTGAGTTCCAAATTCTCTCCCTCTCCTTCCTTGAGAAGGCAAGCAATTTGATATCAATTATACATGTGAAGTCATGCAAAACATATTTCTATGTTAGCTGTTGCAAAAGAAAACACAAACAAAATAAAATAATAAAAATAAAGTTTTTAAAAAGTATGCTTCAATCTGCATTCAGAATTCATCAGTTCTGTCTCTGGAAGTGGATAGCATTTTTCATCATGGGTCCTTTGGACTCACTGTCTTGATCACTGATCTTGATCAGAGTAGCTAAGTCTTTCATGGTTGATCATCCTGAAGTTTTGCGGTTACTATGTACAACGTTCTCTTGGTTCTGCTCACTTCACTCAGCATCAGACCATACAAGTCTTTCCAGGTTTTTGTGAAGTCAGCCTGTTCATCATTTCTTACAGCACAATAGTATTCCATCACAATCACATACCACAACTTGTTCAGCCGTTCCCCAATTAATGGTCACTCCCCTCAATCTCCAATTCTTTTCCACCACAAAAAGAACTGCTATAAATACTTTCATACATGTAGGTCCTTTTCCCTTTTCTTTGATCTCTTTGGGATATCAACCTAGTAGCGGTATTGCTGGGTCAAGGGGTGTGCGCCGTTTTATAGCCCATTGGGCATAGTTCCAAATTGTTCACCAGAATGGTTGGACTAGTTCACGACTTCACTAACAGTGCATTAGTGTCTCAATTTTTCCACATCCCCTCCAGCATTTGTCACTTTCCTTTTCTGTTATGTTAGTCAAATTGATAGGTGTGAGGTGGCATCACAGAGGTGTTTTAATTTTCATTTATCAACAATGATTTAGAACATTTTTTCATGTGACTATTGATAGTGTGGGCAGCTAGGTGGTACAGGCACACCAGGCCTGGAATGAGGAATATTTTAGTTCAAATTCAGCCTCAGACACTTACAAATTGTGTGACCCTGGGCAAGCCACTCACCCCCATTTGCCTCAGTTCCTCATCTCTAAAATGGGGACACAGTGGAGAAGGAAGTAGCAAACCATGCTAGCATCTTTGCCAAGAAAACTCCATGGACAAGTTCACAGGGTCATAAAGAGTTGGGCACAACTGAAAAACTGAACAACGAACTGATAGTTTTGATTTCTTCTTCTGAAAACTGCCTGTTCATATCCTTTGATCATTTACCAACTGGAGAATGGCTCTTATTTTTATAAATTTGGCTCAGTCCCCTATATATTTGAGAAATGAGGCCTTTACATCACCTTTCTCTCTAGCATTCTTACAACGACATAGTCGATTAAATGCCAGTGTTTGTTGTGAGGATACAGTCATGAAGCTTTATTGTGTTTAAGTAAACGGAAGACAGTGCTGATGAGAAGGTCATGAGATGCACAAGTTTTCAGTAGTAAGTGACCATTGCTCTTTCCAACTCTTTCTCCCAAGGACTCCCTGCCATATCTTATAGTCTGTGCCTGTTCTGGCATTAAAGTTACCTAGCATTACAAACTTGTCCTTTTTCGGCTCATTGATGATAAGGGTCTCTAGGTGCTCATGAAATTTTTCTTTGACCTCATCAGGTTCATCATGGTGGGAGTATACACACCGATGATGGTGGCATGGCACTTTCCTACAGGTGGCAATTGTATTGCCATGAGCCTGTTGTCCACTCCTTTGGGGAGGCACGCAAGGTTGTTCACTTGATTAGATTTTATTTCAAAATCTACACTGGCTTCGTGGTGCTCCTCATCATGGTGACCACTCCAGAAAAACATGGATCTAGCTCCGGCTTGCCTTGTTTCACTGAGGGCTGCTATTTGGATGCCATACCTGCTGAGCTTTCTTGCAACAAAAGCTATTCGTCTTTCAAGTCTACTGGATTTCATGTTGTCCATGAGCTTGCACACATTCCATGTACCAATGGTGAGTGGAATCATCTTCACAATAGTTTTCATACATTTTCTTTATGATTCAAATGTAGGGTAGGACCTCTGTAGGCCAGGGTTAGGTCAGCTGGTGTTAGATCAGCTAAAATCATAAAAGAGGAAAACAACAGATATTGGAGGAGATGTGAAAAAAGTGGGACACTAATGCACTGTTGGTGGAACTGTGATCCAACCATTTTGGAGAGCTACCTGGAATTATGCCCAAAGAATTGTAAAACTGTGTATACCCTTTGCCCCAGCAATACCGCTAGTAGATCTGT